ATCCGCCTTTCTCGTTCTGTCACATTTTACAGGCGCTTGCTCATCGCCGGCTCTGCCGGAGGACAGGCACACCCCTCCGGCAGACCTGAGAGCTGTGCTTGGGAAAGAGGGAGGCAGCCGGAGGTGGCCGGGGAGGATTCGGGGCCGGGGGGAGGCTGGCGAGCGCCGGGCCCCGGGACTCCCTGGCGGCTGCCGCCCTCCCCTCACGTGCCCCTCAGAGCGGCGAGGCGGGCCGCTGGTTTCCGCGGTATGGGTGCCTGCAGCTGATTTGGAAAATAAATATCTACCGGTAGGAGATGAGTGGGGTGACTCAGTAGGTAAAGGTGAAAGAGACAGTGCAAAGACTTCCAGGGCTTTAAAAGTTGGAATAAAAGTTTTTTTTGGTTTTTTTTTGGGTTTTTTTTCCCTCTCCTTTCCCCACTCCTTTGAGGTGGGCTATTTCTATGAAGAAAATTCTGCTCACATTACAAAAGGGGGATGTCAGGGGGTTTGACTGTCATTGAGGTTGAAATGAACTTTGTCACCCTGTTTAAATATTTAAGTCTCCTGACACAGGCAAATACATCACGAAGTGCTAAAAAATATATTTAAAAATACAGCTGCCTTTGAGATGAAGAATTCCTATTCCCACTGTATCAGTTCACTTTGCTCAAGCAGCCCTGAGGTACGGAGTACAGCAAGAAACCGTGGACTGGATAGGAAGCTCAGAACCTCTGCATTTGAAGGGGTAACATTTTGTTTTAGTCACTCTGTTGATTTGACTGATTTCCAAGAGCTTAAACATGTTATCAATATGCACATATATCTGTTTTCTTTCTGCATCCAGGCATACTATGCCCTATTCCCTTAAGTAGCTGTAGTTTTATTATAGTTTCATACTGTTTTGCATACTGGTAACATGGGATTTTTTTTTACTTTCTCTTAGCAGTCTTACCTTCCTTGCACACATACAATGTTTCCACTTTCATATCATTACTTTGGCTGTATTATTTGCTCTGTAACATGTCTTTTCTTTGGGTGCAATATTGAGGAAGGTAATGTCTGTACTTTAAAATAAAAGTGAGGTTTTTTTAAGATTGGCTTTGATGAAATAATTGTAGTGTGAAAACTGTAATGTGGTTCAGGGCAGAAACCAGTTTTATGTTGGTGCGCTTTGTCTGAGCTAATCTTAAAGGGCAATAGCTTCCTCGGCAACTGTGAGTGTGCAAGGCTAAAGCTGGAGGCACTTGTGTGAGTGGGAACCCTCAGTCATAATTTAAAGTGTTGTCTCAAAAGCAAACCATATGCACCAAGTTGACAGCAGACAGTCTCTTAAGTTTCATCCCTTCACGTGGAGGTGGAGTGACTCGTGATGAACACACTGTTTTCATCTCCTGCGGGCCACAAAAGTAACTCTCTGAGAGGCTGGAACTGGGGATTGCCAGGAAAAAGACTTAAAGGAGCTGAAGGACATCAGCTCATAGTGGAAATGATACTATAAATTTAGAAGAGCCTAGTATGAACAACAAACCTCCATTTTGCTGATGGTTTCTCCAACTCTGGCCCCATGCCAGTTAGATTTTGGTGGGCTTAGCTGATAACACAAACATCTTCCAATCTCCAAATGTGTGAAGGATGCTACCAAATCCTACAGCTGATGAGAACTGAGGCATTTATACATCCTTATAGGTTTTTTTGTACATTTCTTGAAGACAGAAAAATATTCAAGATAGATTGTTCACAAACATTGTGAGTAAATCCTTCCATATTTAAAGAAGAAGACCACTCAGGTTGTGCCCTATCCTTAGAACTTTCCGGTTGTTTTCAGAACAACTGAAGAGTGCAGAGCATATGCAGCACCTGCTGGGATAAACAGAGGCTGAATATTCTCCTGGGTATTGAAAAAATAATCATTCCAGTTTCCCTACTACAGTTCTTTTTTTGAGTCTGAAACTGTATAAACTATATATCACATATTGACATTTATGTCCTTCAGCAGTGTGACATCACTTGTCACTTAATGTAAATTTGTCCAAGTCATACAAAAGTCAAGTGTTTGAAATCTGAGCTTCTAGTTACAAAGAAGTATACTCTTACCGACTGACTCATAATTCTTTTGCTCTTATGTTCAAGCTTGTGGAAAATGAATATGCAACCAGGAATTAAGACAGAAGTTAAAACCTACATATAAGGGGTTTTAAGCAAACTGTGCAAACTCTACCAATCCATGTCCAGGTCCCATCTGCTCTCAGTCAGAAATGAGTGCACTGGGATGGGGATTCCTTCAGCGTGACACTGATGTATTTAACCTGTGGTTGGCCTACAGATGTGTGCCCATGTGTGAGCAGAGAGACACTGTCTGCCTGACAAGGTGTATGCAGGATAAACATATTGGGCTGGTGTTTTAAGCAATTTAAAGATGAGTTTTGGGTATATTTTCTAAAGCTTCAGCTTCTCTGAAGAAAGCAACTACCGTTTTCAGTCTGCCACACTTGTAAACACATCTCTTTGTCCATCCATCTGTCTTGCTTTGGTTTCAGGCTGTTTTTGTTATGAAGATTTCTTTAGGGATACACTGTGGGATATATATTGTGGGATATGTAGTGGGATATATGTTGTGTTTGAGGTGATGACTCTGTGGTCCTCCTGTGCATACCACTAGAGAATTCCTTTACAATTATGCACACCAGCTGCTGACCAAGTCCTGTCTCCTGCACTAACACGTTTCTGCATGGGAAGAAACACTTTGTTCACATCTGGAGAGTAGCTGATGCAATGAGTCATGATTGCAGAGGACAAATCTTAAGCATAATTCAGACTAGTTATATATGTGAATTTGAAAGTGCAGGCTAAAATCTTAAAATTACCTTGTCTTCCACAGGATGCCAGCAGAGGAAATGAAGTAATGGCGTGATGTCTTCTCAGCAAAGACCCTGTTCTCATGCAAATCAACTTTCTTGAGATTAGCTGTTGTAAACTTGGTTATTTGGATTGTACTTGTGAATTTGGGTCACCAAATATGCATAGATTACTCTAAATCCAACCACAGAGGGATGAGAGCATTTTTGAGAACAAGAATGAGTCGTGCAAGGAGGGAGTGTTCAAAGGAAGTCTAAGTCTAGGCCCATCTGTACTGATCCCAGAGGACATGTGGGAAAGGAAGACATTGTTGTGTGGGTAATGGTGATGTCTACAAATTCCTCTGATAAGGAAAATGATCATTCCTATGTCTGTACATGGGTGATCAGAATTAAAATAGAAAGAACATTTGGGAGAGGGAAGATGTGAGTAGCTCAGTTATGAGGATAGCAGAAAAAGAGCTAGAAATGTATGGTGAGTGGTCTTCAAATAGGAAAAGGGTAAAGATAAAGTGTTAGGTCAAATTATTTTGAGTCATGCATAGTTTGTTTGCTTTCTTGTATTTATTGGAACAAAAATAAGGTAGAAAAGTAGAAATTCTGTGCTGAGCTCATTAGTCCTCATATATAAAACAGCTGCAAGCTGGAAAGGTGTTCTCAAGCCCTAGATTTGTAACTGTGATAGAGGCACAGATAACATGAAAATCAGTTTTTATTTTTGGCTTTGGTCACTGATGTAGATAAGAGTGAATGTATGTGAACACCTGGGTGTTTGGTGAGTATGGAAGTAAAATAACATATAGTGAATTTGCCTCAAGTTTTCATGAAAATGCCACTTAGCTTTGCACAGCAAATGTACAATGTACATAACCCTTAAATTGTTTTACTTCATTGTTATCTAGATGTTTTGCACTCAAACAGAATAGAAAATTATTTATTGGACTTTGGATATATGGGGGTGGTTATGACATACCTTGTATGTTGTAGGTCAGTTGCAGAAATCACAGCTATGTATCTTCCAATTTCTGTCCAATTTAAGTTCCAACAATTTGCACTTTCATAACATTTTATATTTTTTATTTTAAAAAGGAAAGCGTGAAAAGATTTGACAACACAATTTAAAGAATGTATTTGGACTAAGTTACAGGCATAGAATATTTGAACCATTGTTTGCACACCACTGAGAACACAGTGCCTTCTTTTAAATAATAGTGATTTTATCCTCTAAAACAAATTGTGATGGTGGGACCTGGATACTGTCCACTATGATGCTATGGAAAATAGTATCACATAAGTTAGTCCCTTTTTGATTTGATCCTGAGACAGGGGAAATTCAGTCAGTTTGTTCAGTCAGTGACCATGTGGATGTGGTGAGATTTTTGGAGATGAACAGGGTGAGAAGATGTGCACATCTATATCAGTTTCAGAGTGCCTGAGCAAGTGCAGAAAGTCCAAGATACCATTCTTAAAGAAAAAAAGGTAAAAAGCCCATTCTTAAGAAAACCCATCAGCAATGGAATCTGTTTGGACTTCAGAAAACTAAGTAAAGAGCATTGGACTGGCTTCATTCATAATCTGAGTCAAGATTTTATCAGTGGGATTGTCTGATGGTTGGAAATGCATTTCACATTATGGACATGAAAGATCCTGTCTCCATGACAGTGGAGACTTGGTGGCTTTACTTCGCCCTGAGATCTCTGTCTTGGTTGGAATGTTGCCTTCCACCAATGTGAGATCAGTTTCTTTTACTGATAGAAAGTCATGCCCCTTTCCTTAGGAAAACTGTGTTTTTTATGTAGCTTTGAAATACGTACTGATATCCAGAACACCTCATACCACTTTCTACAGGAAAAGTGCATGAAAGTGGGGAAAATGACCCTCTTAACTTTGGCTACATGATCTTTTGTCACAAACAAGAAGTTTCACCAGAAAAATCACAAAGCAAAAAGTATATTGGCCTTTCACAAAATGAAGCCTGCATTTGGATAAGAAAATGCAGAAAAATTTCAAAAGTAGTTTGACTTGATGCAGTTGTGGTTACTACAAGCATAGATGTGGTGTGAGGTTCAGCCCTGACTACAGTCAGTGCAAGCAAATCTCACACCACAGGTGCTGAGATGAGAAGTAGGCCCAAAGAAACTCATGTCCTGGTTCAGCATGTTCCAGCTTTGACAGCTTCAGGGGCAGCATCCCACTTCAGGATTCCTACCTTGGAAGTTAGTGTTTCTGCTGGATTTCTGGGTGCTGGTAAGCAGATGGCTTGTTTTCTTCTTTCCCATCTTCCTATCCTATCCTGTCCCACATAAAGCAGGCTCTGGTAAGATTATAATCTCCCTTTATTCTTTGCTGAAACTTGGAAACAGCTCCACCTCTGCCACCTCCTTCCACCCATTCTGACTCTGAGATGTGTTGATGCCTGACTTCCTCCCTCCCTCCAATATGACAGCAGGCTGCAGGGGTTGTTTATGGGCAGGGCTGTACATCCTTCTTTCCTCCTCGTTCACCCCCATTTCCTTGTAATAATAGTGATAATAATGATAATAATGATAATGATAATGATAATGATAATGATAATGGTAATGATAATGATAATGATAACAATAGCAATAATAATAATAATAATAATAATAATAATAATAATAATAATAATAATAATAATAATCTGAGTCAGCCATGCCTTTCTACCTCCCATTCTTTCTGAGGAAAAGTCAAGCTGACAAATGAGAGATGGGTACCTCCCGTAGACCAACTCCTGGGTCCCTCTAACCACATGAACGTACTTGTTAAAGATATAAGGGACAGGAATTTGCTAGGAGCCCAAAGTGAGGCACTGAGACATGTTCAGCTCTCAGAATGAGAGTTTTGCCTAGACTTTACAAGATATTCCCTTGTTTTGAAGCTAAGTATATGCTTCTGAGCAGGGTCCTGTCATTAAATGGTCAAATGTGAGAGGTGTGTCATCTCTAGCAATAAGAGGGGTGGATGGTTTTGGTGAAAATATAATTGCTCTTTAATACTGACTTATACTTCCAGAATCCAGTTTTGGTGTAATCAGTTTGACATTCGGTGCTGTCTGCATCTTTTGGCCAGACTTTTTGTTTTGTTCACAAAGCTTAAAGGAAGAGAAATATTAATGAAATTTTAAATTCACTTTCCAAGGAAGTAAGGAAATTCCTTACTCTTATTTTACTTTTTTAGAAGTTTTACCTAAATAAAAGGACATCAAAGGGAACATGCCTTTTGTTCCTTTGGTTTTGTTATATGTTTTGTAGCTTTGTCTGGTATTCAAAAACCTAAGCAACTTTACTGGGATCAATAGGAAGCACTGATCTGTCCCTCAGCCTTTCCCAGACTTCTCCCTTGTGGCAGCTCCAGAGTTTTGACACTCCAAGTGGACTGTGTCTGGCTCCAGGTAAAGTGTCAATATTTTTCATCTGACAGTACATGTATTTTCATATACATTAAAAAAGCAGGTTCAGCAGCATCAAACAAGTCTGAGAATTTGATTTCATTTTATCAAGTTACTTGTCCAAACCAACCAAACAAAAAGTAACTTCCCTTAAACTCCTTGAAATAAATTGGAAGACACATTTTGATTTTTCATTGCTACACTTTAAAATAAATGATACAATTTTTTTGGTTGGAATATACTATACATGTTCAATTTCCCTTGAAGTGTGTTTTTAAAAAGTAAATAAACCCAAAATCACAATGAAATGTCCACTTCAGATTAAGTTAAATATTTCATGTAGTTTAAAATGTTGTTTAAAAAAAGTGGTTTTGCTCAGTGTTTTTCACTTTTTCTGATCTTCCTGTGAGTGGAAGCATCAACAACTACAAAACTTTAGTTACTGACTCTTTGATTTAACTTAATTCCTGGAAAAAAGGCTGGTTTTCTGTCACTTATAAGTAGGCTCCTACAGACAGTATTAGTCCTCATTTTTCAGGATCTTAAGCTGCCAGGTACATGTGTTTAAAGGACACATAACAGATTAAACATACAGAAGGCAGAGTGCAGATGGCATGTAAACCAGGCTTCTTTCAGTTTAGACAAATCAGAAAACAGTCACTCAAAATAGAGAAATACCTACTGCTATTTTCTCTCTTGATTGATTCTACTCTTTTGAGTATTCTTTAGGATTCAGTCAGCCTTTTTTTGTGGACATCTCTGTTTATTCTGATCCTCCTACTATTTCCCATACCAAGTAACTTTTGACTCTCCTGATCAACTCTAGATCAAGGTAGCATCAGGGCATTGCTCTGCAGACTAGACAAAAAAAGAAACTTCTTTTTTGTCAATTCAGATGTCCATACTGATCTTACAAGTAAGGCACAGATGCTTAGGATCATTCTTTTTCAAATTAGCCATAAAACAGACACATGGTACACCACAAAGCCACCTATACATCATACTGTCTGAAAAAATCAATCTAGAACTTACAAACTGTGTGGTGGGTTAATCCTGGCTAGCAGCCAACTGCCCACCCAGCTGTACTCCACATCCTCAGCTGGACAGGGGGATAAAATAAGAAAAAAACAAGAATGAGAAAGCTTATGGCTTGAGGTAAGGACAGGGAGATCAATTGTCAGCTACTGGTATTGGCAAAAAAGGCTCAACTTTGGAAAATGAATATAATTTATTGCCAGTTCAAATAGATTTGGGTAGTGGGAAACAAGAACACAAATACTAAAACAACTCCTTTGCTTCCCCCTTCCTGAAGTTTAACATCCCCCCGCTTTAGTCCTGACTCCTCTCACAGCCCCTCGGAGCATTGTGGAGAGGATGGGGAATGCAGGTAACAGTCAATACATGACAATTTCTCTCTGCTGCTCTTTCTTCCTCAAACTTTTTCTCTGCTCCAGTGTGGGTCCTCTCCATGGGCTGCAATCCTTCAGGAAGAAACCTGTTCCAGTGAAGGCTCTTCCTGGGTTGCTGTTCCTTCGGGAATATCTATTTGCTCTGGTATGGTCCTCTCCTCAGGCTGCTGAAGAACCTCTTCCTCTGGCACTGGTGTTTCCTCTATTGTTTATCATTTTCCACCCCCCCCCTCCTTCTCCTCTGGCCATCCAATGTTTTCTAGCCATTCCTAAATTCGTTTTCAGACAGCCCAAATTCCCTGATGGGCTCAGCTGTGTCCTGTGCTGTATCTGCTGGGGAGCTCACTGGAGCTGGCTGTGTCCAGCATGGGGCAGTCCCCAGCCTTTTCTCAGAGGTCACCCCTACAGCCCTCCTGCCACTGCCAAACCCTTACCAAACACAACCAATACAGTGGCTCATATGTGGGTTTGCCAAATAAACCTTTCCTGTTCCTTTCTTTTTCTCAGGAACGAAGGCTGGCAGTACAGAGAGACAACTCCAGCAACATGCAGAGGGAGGAGAGGCAATGAGAGAGGCATTTTGTGTATGTGTCTGAGACTTAAAAGCTCCCCAGATCTGGGAAAGTTATAAGTTACTGAAATTAGCTCATGCTGAAAAAAGCTTCTTTGCTAATGGCAATAGTAGCTATGTCACGTGTTCACTACAGTGATGCCCAAGGACACTCACCTGTAGTGTAGTAAAAAGGAAGAGACCAAAATGTATTAGTGCTGTATAGATAAAATATTTAAATGGTTATAGCTAGATGGACTATAGAGATAGTAATCTGATATGTATGCATGCACTGTACATTTTTGTACTAGAGTTGCAGCATAAATGACCCCATTAAATCCTGTTACTTTCCTAATCCAATAAGCGCTTAATCTCATTGGAAGTGTTGGAAATAATTATTCATTTATACACTTGTTTTTGCCACACATTTTATGTCAACAAGGAGTGTGCCTTTGACTAATCAGTTAAAACAGCTGGCGGATAAAGGAGTGAACGAGGATTGAGAATGTGCTATTTCTGGGAAGACTATTGGTAGTTTTTCTTTGGTCTGAGATGTTATTGATTCTACAAGAAATGTTGTATTATACACAAAGAAAAGGCTCTACTCTGTGTTAACTACCACCAGGACAAGGGTGAAAAGTAGAAACCTTTGTACTTCTCAAGCTGCCTCACCCTGCTGCCTTACTTGACCCTAACTCATTAAATTTTACAGCTCTGAAGAGGTAGGACTCCACCCTTTTTTCAACATTCTGCCCTTCTCTTACCTCTCAAGTGTCTGCCATACTGAGTTGGTGGATATGTTGAATAAAAGACATGTTGTATAAAAGACAGATGTGGGGTTTTTCTGGTTGACAATTCCCTACCAAAAGAGAAAACACTCTTGAAGACCATTGCAAAGATAATCTTGTTCTTTTGTACTCTTGGGGGAGCTGTAGTAGATAGAGTGATTCTGTTCTGTTTACCAAGGACCAGTTTCATGGTCAGATATTTTTAAGTTTGTTCAGTTAAGTGCTCTTCCACTCTTCACTCACCTTGGGAAACACTTCACTCCCCTCTTTAAAAGTAGTTCATGTGCATGGCACGACTTAGACTGGGCTTGCTGTTCCACCCCAGCAATGTTGTAGTACACTGGGGTGGAAGTGGATGCCATACATCTTGCTGGATGAGAGCCTTTCTCCAGACCAACATGGTGGCAGCCAAAACTCACATGAGAGCAAGGATGCAAACACCAAATGAATAATGTTGTGCTGTGGATTTTTTTTCATTCCAACTTGCCACACTTCTGTCTGTGTTTATTACAGCTGTAGGTGCAATTATTTGTCACTGAAGAGAAGTACTAGCCTTTTCCAGAACAATGGGAGAAAAAAGATGATGCTTTTGTTGTCACAGCTGTGGTCATAATGCAAGTATTAAAGCATTGGGTAAGAAAGGAAACATTTTAAAGCTTAAGGAATACTTTGGAGTAGAAAAACTTGAAGTTATTTTTAACTCAGGTGTTTCTGTAATGGTGCTATACGGTATGAGGAAACTTCACAGTTCTCCATGGCACTCACAATAGGTGTAACACCTTTGCAGAATGATTGCTTAGTAACTCTTGCTGGAATGTAATAAAATTAGGAAGACTTGTAAAACCTACTGCTAAAGATATTTCCCTTTTCACAGTCTGTGTTTTTCACGTAAGTGTTTATTTCAGTATTTGTACTAACAACCTTCTTATAAAAAGAGTAAATCAGATTTGAAGTTTTAGGTTGCCTTCTACTTCTCAAGTAGCTCCACTGCAAATGTTAAGAATAGGAAATGAAGGAGGTGTACACATTGAAAAGAATGTGTCCCAAGGCGTGTTCATTAAGACAAAACAGCTGCAAAGAATCCTACAACTTTCCCATCTGTTCCATCATTTATAACCAAGAAATGTAAGGAAAGATCAAACCTCACCTATCTCAAAGTACTGTAGGAATGGCCATGATAGATACACTATTTTAGCTATTTTAGCTTTCAAGTTCAATAATGACAGTAGAAGAGGGACAATACTGAGAAACATTGCTGAAAATTTCAGGAAATCTTAGCATTGTTCTTATACGTTTGAGTAGAAAAGTTGTTCTCTTAGAATCTTTATAACATCCCATCACCTTCAAATAATGTTTTTGGAGTGAATGCTGGGTAAAATTGCAGGTTGTCTTCTTTACCTTTCTGCCTCCTGTCTGTTGTAGCAACGCATGTAAAAAAGGAAAAATCACATGTTTTCCTTCCTGGAATCCATAACATGTTATAGACATGCTTCCTGAGTATAAGTGGTATTACAGTATCTCAGATCAAAATCTAATTGCACTGAAATCTAGGGACATGCTCTGCCGAACCACATATTCTCCATGTGGACAAGTATCCACTGCCAGAACACAGTGGTGTGACTCTTGAAATGACACTGAAAACTGTTGAAAGACCCTGATCAGGCCTTAATATTGTGAAATGCTGGATAACCTTATTTGTGTTCTTTGTAGATGCAACTGACTGTTTTTCAGCCAGAATAAGCAAATAGAGGACCAGATTTGGGTCTTGGGTCAATGAGATAATTCCTCCAACCCCCTGGTGAATTTAGCTGAATTATGTTATTCATAATGTGGCCTGTGTATGTTTGTTCCTGTTTTAGGATACTTAATTTAAATTTAAAATAATACATCATTTTTGAGACTTATGGGCAACTAGCATGTATCATCTGGCATCCTTGAAGGTCATATTTCTGAAGGGTAGTTTTGTGTATACATATTTTGATCTGGAAAGGTAGAATGCTTGGGTTTGCTTCTTAAATTCTTTTTTTGGGCACAACTCTACAGATTGCTTCAATCAGGACTTGTCAGTGCAAGTTACACAATTAAAAAAGTCAGTTATTAAATATGTCTATCCTTGTGCAAGTATAAGAGTCAGGAAGCAAATTATGAATACCTAAATTGCATGTGAGGAAGAAAAACCTTTGACTTAGCCTATAAAAGGTGATTCCTCTCTTGGAATAAAAGTGGTTTAAGCAAGGCTATTAGAGGGACTAGGTATCAGCCCATATTAAAATGGAAAATGGAAAGAGTATGTGATTGATTGGTTAATCTGCTGAACAACCCTGACTCATGTTAATAAGGTTAGAATCCTATGTGTGGCCTTATAAAATGAAGTCTGTGTTTGCAGCTCTGACCTTCCCCTACTGGGTGACCTTGAGCAGGTAGCATTGCCCAATGCTTGGGTTTTCCCCTTAAAATGGAGTAATATTTCCTCACCTTTGTAGAACTCAATGAAAGCAAATAATAAAAAGCTTTTCACATGTTTTGGGTATTATTCTTACTATTGATGTATTACTGTGGCAATTCTTGTAGATTATGAGAGAAGAAAATTCCTCTGCCAACATCAGGAGCAGCCAGGAGAGAATTTACAGCTCCTGAATGGTTTGAAGTCAGATCAGCAGTAACTATAGATTTTCAGAAGTCTTAAAAGTTGTTTCTTGTAGCAGGAAGGGCAACAAGTATCCCAAGGAAAAAAAAAGAAAATGGTGACAAACTTTCCTTGTAATTGGCTAGCATCAATTCAATTGCACAGAATATCTGTGAAACAGAAAGGTCAAGCAACTTATTTTTAAAAAAAAACAAACCCTATGTGAATCTAAGATTAGTCTTGACATTTTCAAAGCCTCAGAAAATTAAGGGAAGGGCTGCAACCCTGAGGATTGTGGTCCCTTAGGCTGACTGGAGGAAAGATTATACTAAACATTTTGAGACCTGAATGATCCATTTTGTATTAGGGAAGATTTACAAGATCCTCAGAGAACACTTGAAACATCTGACTGAGAGAGAGTCTGTGGACTTTCTGCTTTCTTGGTAGGGATTCTCAAGGGCACCATTAGGGAATCAACTATTGTGATTGATGGAAAAATAAAGAAATCGAAGAAGAAATGAAGACAAACTGCAATGTGGACTTTTTCATGTAGTCCCATGATATCTTCAGCATTAAGTGATTTTGGCAGATAATTTCTACTATGAAGCATGTGGATAGCCAGAAGGCTATTAAGAGAGAATGATGCTGTAATATAAGCATGGAGGATTCTTATAAAGTGTATCTTTCTCTCATTCAAAGTACATGATGAAAAATGATGTGTCCAGAGTGCTAACAAATTATGACAAAGTATCATTTTTCCACATATATATATTTTTATGTGAGTGTGTATATATATATAATGTATACATATATATATGTATACATATATATAATGGTAAACTACCCTTACTATCATAAGCTGGTATTCTCCACCCCCCCCCCACCCCTCATGCTATTTATTTCCTATTTATAAAAATAATTCCAACTGTATCTTTTAGCTAATCCTAGCTAGCTCCATATGCAGGCTGACAATATGCCTGAGGTGATAATATGTCTGGTCAGTTAGACCAGTGTGTGGTAGATGAAAAATCCTTAAATGGGAATGTAGGATTTTGATGGAATAAGACCCCATGTTCACTTTGCACAGATGAAAATGATCTCATCATGTGCAAGATGATAGAGGATAAGGCTCCTCCTTTCTTCCTGGTACAAATTAGAGTGATGTAATGAATATACACATGCAGTTAGATGGATTCACTCTCTCTCCCACCCATATTTGTCGTTTACAGACTCATCTTACTAGTTTGTCTTTCCCTGTTCTATGAATTATTTGTGAATAGATTAATTAATTTAATTAATTTTGTTAATTCATAATTGTGTCTTTCAAACCTTCCTGAAGAATGGTTTTGAGCCTTTGGATTACTATAGGGCTGTGTTCACTGTAGCGTTACTGGTCACCTCAGCAGTACAGGAGAGCTACCAGTCTCTGCCTGAACAATTGAAAACATCATGTAAAATAACCATTTTCAAGTTCATAAGTTCATAAATATAAAGCTTCTATTTCCATCTTTAGAGAGGTTTATATGCTCAAAACATCTGTTTTTTTTTTTTCCATGCTACCATAGGCTTTTTAGAAGGCTTTCCTTCTCCCTGTTAGCTGTGTCGAGTTTCTGTGCTTTGACTATGATCATTATGAGAATATATCACACCCCAAAGCGTGTTCATTTTCCACGTTTTCATTTTGCCCAGGGAAAGAATACAAGAGCAGTCTGCAGAGCTAGATGATACAGACTGGCATTCAAAATGCCATTTTGCTGGTGCTTATTTTAAATTGTGTTCTTCCTGGGCCAAATCGGACTGACTTCAGTCTGTAACGGGTTCCTTTCAAGGTGTATCTACTTGCATCTGTGCCAGTACTCTGGGCAGGAGTGGTACTAGCTGCAGTAATGTCAATAGTGGTGCCAATAATTTTATCTGTGTTAAAGCCAGTGCTGTGGCCTTGGATTTAAAAAGCAAAAATCAAATACAATTCTTCCTCATGGCAGAGATGATGTCAGACACAGTACAGAAGGTATTTAGAGTGCCATTTTGAGTTTATTGGTACGCATTTTTTTCCTATCCCTATTACAGAACATATACTGAAGAAATACGTGGATCAACATTCATGAAAAAATTCCTAACACTTATTTGGATGTTCTAAATAGGAATAGTTCTGGATACTAAATAAAGGCATGTATAAGACCCTCTGTTTGAGGTGAAGAGGGAATCTGGCTGAAGCCAAGCAAATATTTTTGTGCTGCCTTTGTTTAGATCAACTTTGTCTGCTCTGCTCTGTGTATCTAGGTTTCCAGTCAACACCACACACAGTGAACAGACATACAAATCTTGGGGAGAAATGGAAAAGATTTATTCTATTTGCTTTCACAGAAGGAAGATGTTAGTGTATCCAGAGTTGGGATAGGTTCCTATCGTGACAGAACAAAACTGGCTTTTCAGCTAGTGCCTTACCATGGCAATCTGCTTCAAAGGAACAACTGTCGTTTTTGATAAGGATAGTGAGAATTACTGTCATCTGGAGAGATCACTATGCCTCTGGGTTTTATAGTATATTACAACAGAAGAATTTATTCTTTAAGAGGTGAATAATTCTTCCACTACAATATTTTATTGCTGGTTTAGAAAAGATGCAGTTTGTACCCTGCATGATTATAATGTAGCTCCTTAGCTAGCTCTCTTTAAATATAAACTTGTGATATGTTGTTTTTTTTTTAATATATTTATATATATATATATGGCAGGGAGTCAGGCAGAAAAAGCAGCTAGTTAGTGGAAAACCTTCACAGGGCAAGTGAATTTGGGGAGCGTGCATGCACACCACATGCCTCCCCACAGCCAAGAGCCAAAGAAGAAGCTCGCAGTCTCACAGAAGCTGTGCAAGTGAGCGAGTTATTATGGAGAGCTTCTCTGTGGCTGAGCCAGTAAGAGCTGGGTGCTAAACTTGTTTCCGCTTGAAGTTGCTCTTTGCATACTTGTTAAGGCAGAATGTTCTACCTTTTCACCTCTGCAATACTGGGTGTGAAACATGAGCCTCTAGGTGTTTCCTGGCTGGCAAGAATTCAATGGTAATAAAATTACTAGTAGAATAAATGTTTCAGAGGCAGTTACCCTCTCTCACCTGTTTGTAATTTTTTATTAATTATTACAAATGTGTTTAAGTACTCTACCTGATTTTAATCTGCTGTATTCCCAGGATTTACATATAAAGGTCTTTTTCCCACAGAATAATGAATAATCACATATGTCAGGGTGTGGTGTTAAAATACTGAAGGTTGGTGATACACCTACTAGCAATCGCTCATTTTGTAAAAGGCTGGGTTCTATAAGTAGTTTGCTTTTTATGGCTTTGATCCAAAATTCTGTTGAAATCAGACTCTTATTGAGTTAAAAAGCTACGGATCTGGTCCCAAATGTTCTTTTATGGGAAGTGTTTGTAGTGCCATTGTTAACAATATATGCAGCACTGGGCATGTGAACTGTATAAGTAGAAATTTTACTTTTCCCAAAGCTCCTGCTTACTTTTATGCCTTCTTTGCTCAAGCAAACAGCAGGTGGCTTACATGAATAGTGGGGTTAATGAGACTACTTAAGTGAGCAAGAGTGGAAACTGGTCCTCTATTTCAGAGAATTTAGGACTTGCCAGATAGAGCTGAGAACTGTAAAGGATTAATATTATTATATATTGAAAGAAAAGATGACCAGGATAGAGGTGGCAATGGGGAGGAGGGTTTGTTGTTCCAAGAACATCAGAGCTAATGAGATCTAATGCTTTTGTTTCTTAATCCCTGAACCGAATTATCTCCCTCCCTTCCCATGTGACATCATCCCCTAGGTGCAGGGAAGCCGCAGGGCAAGATGCAATGCTGCCTGATCAGCCAAACAGAGGGTGAGTGAGCTAAACTTAGTAGTGCCTCCCCACAGCAGAGTTACTAACCTTGTCCCTGCTCTCCTTCCACTTTCAATTCTCATGAGTTATGTAGAAACATACTTATCTTTGATATTTCAGGTTGGATTAAAATAGGACAATGAGCACATAAGTTATTTGAGAGGAGAGAAGAAAATATAATTTTGTAGTCCATTTTCTTACCAACAAAAAAAATTTACCCTGAACTCCACTTGGAGAGGGTTGAACTTGTAGTTCTCCACTCAGATCCCATAAAAACATGGCCTTTATGAATTTTTGTACACTTTACACTTTGCATTTGTATTTGTATTACTTTGTACAGAATAATTTACCTCAAAAATAGTAAGCCCTAATAAGATGATAAAGTGTTTATATTAGGAACTGGATCACATGGATAATATTTGTGATTTCTCTTTATGCTATTTTTATGCCAATCAGCATGCAGCCTTTGCTGCCAAACTGGGAGGATGAAGATGAAATATTTTATACAGTTTTAGGTTTTGTTCTCTTTTTCGATTTTCCCTTGCCATTTCTATATTACTGATTTGACAAGACACAAACAACAGAAATACCGACATATTGCAAGAAGTGAATTTTACGGTGGCTCTATAATATTTGTAAAGGAAACACTTTGTAAGTAACTGAAGTCTTGATGGAATTTGAGAAGACTGGATTTTGAATGTCGATGGATCTCATACTGAAGCTACACAGCTGGATGCCAGTGTTATCTGGGCAAGTGTCAAGTAGGATTTCATAGCATAATGGCTACTCAAAAAATTCTTAATGCTCTTGCCTAGGAGACAAGATTTATAAATATGAACAGTTAGTGTTTGAAAGTTAAGGAAGTCACAAAGACCCAGCAACAAAGCTATCCAACAGAGGAATCTTCTTCCCACTTTTAAACTCAGAAAGTGATTTCTCTCAAGCAAAAGTGACATCAAATGCTTTTTTAGATAAAAGACAGTACAAATAAGAAAGATCCTCCAGGAGAGGCTTTAAAGTGTCTTTCAAAATTAGCAAGCACAAAAAGCCCATAGGTCAAGAATCAAGTCCTCTCCTGTAATCCATTTTCATTCAGATAGTATTTCAGGCTCCTGGAACTGACCTTCAAAAAGTCATTTCTTCATGAAATACATGTTATACTATTGTCACTATTCATCCATCTCTAAACACCTGGCATCAGGCAAAGTTCAAAGGAATCAAACATTGAACTGACCCCTTGATGAGAAAAAAAAGTAAGAGCAGGACCAGGGCTGGTCAGAATGCTGGAAAATGGACACTGATTTGTGGAGTAGTATTGTGTGGTCACTGATCTTGACAATTACTAAGTTTGGAATAAACTGTACTATAAAAATTAATATACTCATTGTACATATATGATGTGTAAACACAAGTATCTTCTTGCTGATGAGCCTTGCATGTTGCTTGAGATTAGCTAATACTAGACTTAGTAGAAATTGTATCCCTAACAATTCTATCCTCCTTCAATTTTGTGCTTGAAAACAATTTCAACAATTTATGAAGTGGAAATACACAATAAAGTTAACTTGTAAAAATTACTGACTCATAAAAGTGAGCACAGACAAAGAATGATTTCTGAATTTTATATTTTATATCCTTGCCATGTGAATTGCTACTTCTTCTTACTGGAGGCTTTCCTGATGTGCAGCAATACAAGCCTCAAGTGACTTGAGTCTGGGGAAGTCCTGACACAGTTTTCTGAAAATCTCTTTCTATTTTCCATTAACAATGATGACAGCTCTGATCTTCCCCACAAGATCACATTTAAGTATTCAGTGGCTATTAATAAAGACTTCAGTGGATTGTAGTCACAATAGTTGACATAAATACAAGGTTTGAAAGCTTTGGGTTAATATGGATTAAGATGTCAAAGGTCAGGAGACAAACTGAAAACAAAGAAAATTCATCACAGAAGCTTTTTTTTCCCTGCAAGTAAAAACTATAGTAAAATTATTGAAAAATCAGATTCATGAATATGTAATGAATCCCAAATGACCTGAATGGCAGAAATCAGGATTTATTTGCTAAGAATCTAAGGATGGGATAATTTTGAGCTCCTGGCTGGGAAGGCTCTGGAGCATTTATCCTTTGGAAGACTGATCAGTCAAATGTACATGCAGCTCTTGAAATGGGCACAAAGATTGTCATTTGTCTCATTGACTTTTAACCTACATTAGCTTGGGAGGGCTCAGAAATTTCACTTTACTACCATTGCAGCCATAAATGGTGTTGGATTTAGATGTTTGTGACACTTATGGCCTTGTAGAACTGTGGACTTACAGATCTATAGAAAAGCCCTTGTCTTGAGTAAGTGCCCTTTTATGCACATACGAAAACTGACTTCTGTGCTGAAGATTTATTTGCTAGCACAAAGTTTTCCAACAGAAAGATTTCACTGTGGATGATAGATCTGTGTTAGGATAGTAGGACATGATCTGCTTACTGACATACGATGGCAGAACAGAGCTTTGCTGGCAGAGGCCTTGGTAAGCATCTGTGCAAGGAGACAAATTAAAACAGCTGGCCCCTCTCAGTCTTGACCATTTTGGGTGAAGATTGAGAAGGATCTTTGACCAGTAGGTCCAAAGACTGGAGGCTCAAATGCTCTCACAGTCTCATTCTCAGAAAGAAAATCTTTAGCTGAGGAAGAGAATGTAACTTGGAATATTAAAATAGATAGCTAGTTGCCACATCTATCTTCTTCTAATGATACAGAAACATCTAGAAAATCCTGGAGACAGGTTCTGAAAATCATCAGGCATTAACATTTTATTTTTCCTGTCTTTGAAAAGTTGTTCATACCTTGGGGGAATTTGATGGGATTTGTGGGCATGACCCTGGTTTGTTAATAAGATGGGTATCTTTAGGTTTTCATGAAAAGCTGCTGCTTATTTATATTCCTCAAGAGGGATTTAAAGGAGAATTTTTTTCAGTGATACAAACAGTATTTTGGTGCTTATGTTCCCCATTGAGTAATATGTCTGGCTTCCCTATCATTTAATGAAAAATGAATGGCTCAGAAGAATCAGAGTGGTAAATGTCAAAATAGATAAAGCTAAATGGAGACTAAATATTTTTTGTGGACATCAGCTATCTTCAGATACAGTATGTGCATTAATGCAGTCCCACAAAGTGAGGATTAGGTGATTAAGACAAACTGTGAAAAATAAAAAGGAATATATATAGTAAAATAGCCAGAGCTGGATTTTTCTATAAAGGTTCAAATGCAGAGTAAAACTGCTGTGTCCAAGAAAGTTGCTGGAGAGTCATTTGTGTATAAGTTGAATTGGAGTCTGTCTCGAAGAGTGACTTAACAGTGACTCAACATGCTGAATTGTTGCTTCGAATAGTAGTTATCAAAGGCATCTTGCCTTTGCGTAAATGACTAATATAATTAGCTTATAACATCACCATAGGCATTGGCAAAAGTAATCATCATTACTATCCATTGTGTTCACAACATCTGAACCATTCATTTTGAAGCCTGTGGAACTGAAACTTCTATCCATCTCAGGAGAACTTTGTTTTCATCCACCACACATTTTCTGCAGGGGCCTGTTTTCCATGCCTCCCCATCCTCCTGCCCATTCTTACTGCATACAAAATGTAATTAGCATTGTTCCTGCTTGCTTCGTCTTTTTTTTTTTTTTAAGAAGTGGGGCGGAGATGGGGAAAAAAGTTTTTTTACAATAAAATCAAATACAAAAGTCCTTTGTACACCAAACCTTATCCTGCTTGGTTAGCTCAATTAAGCATATGTAGAAAGGCTCACAAAGTTGGCCCTATTTTGTTGTTAGTTTCAGCTATGCAATTCAGAAGTTATATGGGTGTAACCAAGGTCAGAATTTAGTCCATTGTATGCTTAAAAAGAAGAAAGCACTGTGAGATTCTACTGTTTCACTTTTCTAGCAAAATTATGTGCTTCTGTAGCCATGAAATAAAGACATGATTTGAATGAGTTACCATCTCTGTGATACTGAGATAACTAATCTGAGATTGAATGCTGCTCTTTTTCAGGAAAAATGAACATAATGATTAATAGTATCATGGCAGCACTATTATTTGGTATGTAATACTCTCTTTATATTATTAAATATTTGTGAAATTGCAATTAAAAGCTTGCCTTGTTTGCTAATATGCTCTCTTCTTTAATTAAAGAACTCTTGCTGTGAACTTTGCCTTTTGTGAACATGCTTAGCAGTGGGGTTAAGGAAGGACTTAATCTTTTTAGAAAAAGAGACACCTGTTCACAGGCCTCTAAAATGTTTAAGTCACATCTCATTTAAGGCTAGATTGCTCAGCATCTTGTAGGATTAAGCATAGGCTTAACCTACCTGTTTTTCATTTTGGTAACATGTAGCGGAATAACTCGAGTAATAGCTGAAGCAGTGCTTCTTCAAATATCCAGGTAGGAATTCAGGTCTATCACTCTACCAGTGTTGACTGGTGCTCTAGTCCCCTTATCAACTTCATGGCTCTCTTCTGGACTTGTTCCAACAGTTCCATGTCTTTTTCTGTTGGGTCTCCAGACCTGTTCACAGCATTCCAGATGGGATCTCTGCAAGAGCAGAGGGACAGAATCCCCTCCCTCAACCTGCTGGCCACACTCCTTTTGATGAAGCCCAGGATTCCACTGGCTTTCTGGGCTTCAAGCACACACTGCCTGCTCATGTTGAGTTTTTCACAAACCATCGTCCCCATGTAGCTCTCTTTAGGGCTGCTCTCTATCACTTCTCTGCTCTGTAGGTGTGCCTGGGATTGCCCCAGTGCAGGTGTAGGACAATGCACTTGGCTGTGTTAACTGGTCTAGACTTCAACTGCATGTGTGAAGTAGGTCAAGGTTGTCTTCTCTCAGATCTGCTTTTACAGCTGTGCAAGCTCTTACCTACTTTGTAGTCTTCTTTCCAATGTCAGTTTTAACTCCCTTCCCTTCTCTTTCACTGTCTCTTTGAGCCTTTCAGGAAGGGAAGGTATGATGAAGTTCCATGGCACAAGAAGCCCACTAGGGGTTAGTCTCTTTTCCTATTGATTAATCACCCACAGAAAACTTGAGAGTGAACTCTGCATGAAGCTTTCTATCTCTCGGTAATCACCGTAAGTTAGAAAGCAAACTTTATT